TTCTTTACTGGTCATTGGTGTCGTCCATATATAAAGACAGAGAAATCTAAATACTACAACAATCAACAACGCAGCTCCAATCGTTGCCAAGCACAGCTCGAACGCAGCTCCATCGCTGCCCAACGCAGCTTATCAATCGCTGCCCAACGCAGCTCCAATCGCTTATCAATCGCTGCCCAACGCAGCTTATCAATCGCTGCCCAACGCAGCTCCAATCGCTGCCAAGCACAGCTCGAACGCAGCTTATCAATCGCTGCCCAACGCAGCTCCAATCACTGCCAAGCACAGCTCGAACGCAGCTCCATCGCTGCCCAACGCAGCTTATCAATCGCTGCCCAACGCAGCTTATCAACCGCTGCCGACGCAACTCATCCATCACTGCCCAACGCAGCCCGTCAGTCGCTGCCAAACGCAGCTCAATCACCGCCAGAACGCAGGTCAAGGTTCTGACTCATTCAAACGTGATCGTAACAACTTCAAAGCTGTTCTTCACCCACGATTTGAGGAGTGGCTTTAGTGGGTTGTTACACCCGACTAATGGGGTAACTAAACCCCCATTTAGGCACGAATTATGAGGGCAGTTACACCCCTAATCCCTCTATAAATAGCAACAAACTCAACAGAGTAAAGGATCTCTTTTTTCTTGGATTAGGGAGATCGGATTTTGGATAATCAGATCAAGGGCGGATTCTTGTCGAGAGGATCTTTCAGGCGAGGAGAAGATCTTTCGATCAAATCTTCCAGAATCAGAAAAAAAAGGAGGATTGACTCCTTACACAGTCTGGGAAATCAACAGACGGAGGAACTCTAAACCGTCGATATTTGGCTTATTAACCGAATTATTTTCGGTTCAAACAACAACCGAATTATTTTCGGTTCGAACAACTCTGTCATTAGAGTTTATTACTTGTTCTGAGTCACAAAACTCGACAAGAGTTATCAACCAGACAAGGCAGTTGTTCCAGTGAGTATAGATATTCGGATCGTCAACGAGAAGCAAACTTGACGCAAGCATTCGAGGGAGACATCTCATCGCTACCAAGAAGAACCCAGAATTAAACAAAGGAGAGAATCCCGATCATTCTCTTCTCTTTTGTAAACGGAAATCCAACTGTAATTGAGAATAGAGAGAGTTGTAAACATTCTTTTTCTAAGCAGTTAGAGAGAATAAAATTCAAATACAGTTCTTTCATTTATTTTCTTATTTGCAAATTTTCCCACAAACAGCTGCCAAGTCCCAGATCTAAAAATCCAGCCTAAACTCAATTGAGTTTACTCATATTTATAGGGAATTAAGGGGTGTAACCGCCCCCCTTAATTCTCTCCATAATGGGGTTGAGAGGGGTGTAACCGCCCCCTTAATCTGCTCCTAAGTGGGGCGGAAATCCCTCAAATCGTGGAGGCAAAACGGTTCCTGCAACCGTTCAGCTCGTGTTTGAACGAGTCAAACGCCCACGTTGGTGTTCAGGACCCTAACTCCACGTTTTAGAATGGAGACGCGGAGTTGGGTACTCGCTGGGTGTTGAAAAATGCGAGGGCCACCCGCGTTTGGTTTGTTGAGGATTGAAAACGCGGGGGTCGCCTGCGTTTTGCTTGTTAAAGCTTGGAAACGTGGGGGTCGCCTGCGTTTCAAGAATTGGAACGCGGAGATGACTTCCGTGTTTAGAAGGGGCTAGTTGACTTGTAGCCTCTTCTGTAGAGCGTTGTAAAGATCATTGTTGAATGATCTTCGTCTTGACTCCTTGAAAATATGAGAGTTATCAGATTGTAACTCCCGATGTTGATTGTGAAGGCTGTTGAACTGGAGCTTTCATCGGTTGTTGTGAAGGTCGTTAGATTGTAACCTTCATCGATCTACATGAAAGTCTTCGAATTATAGCCTTCTGGAAGTCGTCATATCGTAACTTCCATCATCGGTGTTTGATGGGGGATATGCTATCTATTTTGATTTTTAGACAGCCTACATTCACAAAGGCCTTACCTGTTCATTGGTTCTAGTTTCTTGTACGCAAACTCACTTTGTTTGATCCAACATGAGTTTGAAGGGGGCTGTTGATAATAGTGTATTGTAGTGGGTTTTAGTCCCACATTGCTTGGGAGAACACACCTCACACTCCTCTACTTGTATAAATATATGTGCACAGCTTGGGAGAACACACCTCACACTCCTCTACTTGTATAAATATATGTGCACACTCAATATTCAACTCAAGAGAAGTTTACCCAAGATTCTCTCTCTCTTACTTTAACACAAACAATGTTTACATCTTATCATCGTCATCCGGTATATTCTTCAAACAGTTCCTGTTTCAGGCATGTCAGGCATAGACAGGTTATAAAAACTATCACTAGTAGTAGTGGTAGTAGTAGTAGTATGTACCTTCTCAGACCGCTTGTATGTATTTAGTATAATGTTAATATAATCTGGCCATCAACTGCCATGGGATCTCCATTTCAAACTTTTATAGCTTCTCCGGTGCCCCAAGCCTATTTTGAAGTATCACGTACATCAGATACTTAGTTGGCTTGTTGATGAGGACAAGAATAGGCAATCTTCCGTTTTAGGGTAGTTGACTTTCATTCATTTTAATTTTTAAAATTTAAAATTTAAAATTTAGTTTAGTTTTGGCATTTGAGTGATTTTAGGGAATTTGTTTGAGTGATTTGAGAATTTTTTGTTTGTTTCCATTTTATTGCATGTTGTGTGCCCGTAGTCTTTTCTTTATTAACATTGTTGTAATCAGAAATGATGATGAATAATGGAATAAAGAAATTTTGTTGGCTGAATACTCGGGTGTGAAACCCTAGCCCTTTGGTGTGAAACCCTAGGGACTTCCCCTCTTCATCTCTTCTTCACCAACACCACCCTCCCTCTCTCATTCATCCCTCCCGCAGGCCAAAACTCCACCACCGCCATCATCTTCCACAAGCCCACCTCCAACTCACCTCCTTGCAGCCGCACCCCAGCCACCGCTTGCTCATCCTCTACCACAACAACCATCAATGACCTGCCTCCGCCCTCCTCTCTCACAACTCGCAGGACCCCAAATTTCCTCCTCTCCTCCGCGTCAACCTCAGCTCTCTCCTCGTCTTCCCGTCAACAACATCGCCATCATCTTCTGTTTCTCCAGATGCAACTGCTCTCCACTGAGATCATCTCCCACAACCTGACAGACTCCAAATTTGGGCAGCCCACGTTCAGACCTCGACTTCGCCAACCGTGCCCATGTTTAAAGAGTTTAAGTGTTTGTTTGTTTGCAAAAAGAGTTTTACAAAGAGGAGAATCGAAATTTTATTTTTGAGGAGTTCAACCTCAATCATCATCTACAACTCTTTGTTTTCATCAGAGAAGTTTTCTAAACTCATTTATCTAGCTTGTTCTTATTTTGATTCTTATATATATTTTTTGCTAGATTAAATTTGAGTTTAGTTTCATTATTACTCATTATTTTCACACACAACCACTTGAGCTTAAATTATTTTGGACAAAGATTTGAATAAAAAATTAATATCTCATCATGAGCGAAATTAAACCTCCAAACGACAGCACTTACTGTTTGTTATCTGGGTTGCTGCCGTATTAACATATTTAACCAGCTGTGACTTTCATTCCTTGCGAGAGTCTTATTAGTAATTAAGATCTTCCATCTAATTATTTTGAAATCATTTTCATTTGCCATTCAAGGCAAACAAATGATAGATAACCAGGATCAACTGTGACTAGATGGAGCAGATACTAATTGTGTTGCGCGCCTATGTGGAAACGTGCTCGCACACCGAACGAATCTATGATCACGGGAGAAGAGGACAAACCACACACGAGCACAATTCAATCCAAATAGGACAGATTAAACCAGACACAGAGATATACGTGGTTTGACAATTTGCCTACGTCCACGGGGAGAGAATGTGGAGATTCCACTAAATCAAGGAGAGTACAAATAGTTACAATCTCACAAAATCACTCACACAAACCCTAAACCAAATTTCTCAACTTGCTCACAAGTTCTCCCTCTCGAAGTGCTCAGAATACTCACAAATCTCTGTTAGAACTCTACTCACATAACCCTAGAAACGAGTGTTTCAATATATATCAAAACACAAACCCAGTGCGAACATGAAACCAAATTTAGGCCCAGCCCAACTCGCGATCGACCGCTGAGACATGTGCTGTCGGCCGGATAGAACGACAGAAACTGAAAAAACATTACAGGGTTTGGCCGGTCGACAGCCGCACCAATCGCGGTCGACCGCGAAAAGTCCAGAGACTTTTCCAGGTTGCGTGCACGTTTGCGTTCGACCGTCGCGCCAATCGCGGTCGACCGCTAGAAGCCCAAACCTATTTTCTGCCGTTTTTCCTATAAGCCCTTCAAATTGTCTCGCTCGCGTGGGCGTCTGCTGCTGGAAACTAACATTATCTTGTACAACAGTGAAGGCGCGGATGCATATATTATGAACGGGGCCGGCGCAGCCCCCCCCCCCTCCCCACCCCCCACTTGGTTGCAAGTGGGGTGGACCGAACCCCACCCCGCGTCCCGCCATTTGTTGGAAGCGGCAGCCCTCTTATGCGGGGCTGGCCTCGTCCCCCGTTGAATTCCAGCTTTCCTCATCTTCCTTCCTTTGAACACGTAGTAGTAATTGATTAATTAATGTTAATAATGACGCCCTGATGAAGCCTATATAAAGGGGAGCACATCCAACCATCTTTCTTCACACCCAACCACAATCTGTATATTTCTTACATCATCTGCTCTCTTCAGCAATGACAACCCCTTCTAACCTCCTCCCGTCCTGCATTCTGATAAGCCTCTCCATCTTCTTCTCCGCTCTCCTGCAACGCGCTGTGGACCTTCCGCCCTCCGTAGCTTTCAAGTCGCGGCATCACTTTCGCGTATCCCTTACCGGCGCTTCTCAGCACTCTGAAGCTCGCACGCACTGACTGCTGCAGCTTGGGACGGCGTTGGCCTGTGATCCTCCACAGGCCGCATGCGTCAAACCTCAGCCCGCCCTGGCGATGGCCTCGACCCTTACGGCTCCCCCTGATACCTACATGACAGGCACAATCTCCCCCGCTATCGGCCGTCTTACTTCTCTCTCCCTTCTTGACCTCAGCAATCTCCTGAAGCTCTCCGGCCCCATCCCTTCGTCCCTCGGCCGCCTCACCGGTCTCACCGTTCTCCTGCTCGACACCAACAACTTCACAGGCACCGTACCTCCTTCCCTCGGAAACCTCTTCCGCCTCCAGAAGCTCTATCTCGGCTCCAACCACCTCTCCGGTCCAATCCCTCCTTCCATCTTCTCCTTGCCCAATCTCGTTGAACTCGACCTCTCCAGCAACGCACTCTCTGGTTCCATCCCTGCTTCAGTTGGACAGCTCAGAAGACTGCAAATTCTTAATCTCCACGGTAACCGACTCAGCGGAGGCATACCCTCAGATATCGGAGTGCTCAGCCAGCTGACAAATCTCGACCTTTCAGCTAATCAGTTCACCGGCACCATTCCTCAATCAATCGGTAATCTCGCCAACCTCTACCAATGCAATCTGTATCAAAACAGAATAACCGGCAGCATTCCGTCTTCCATTTCGGGCATGGTCTCCCTGCAGTTCCTCAACTTGCAGGGTAACCTACTGACCGGAAGAATACCAGATTCAATCGGTAGCGTTCGCAACCTCCAGGGCCTGTACTTGACTAACAATCAGATCACGGGTGAGATACCAAGCTCGATAGGGAATCTCCTCAATCTGACATACCTCAACCTGGGTAACAATCGCCTCTCCGGAGTAATCCCTTCCGGTATTACCAGCTTGAATCTACTGCAGACCCTAGACGTATCCAGCAACAATATCATCGGCCCGATTCCACGGTTTTCTCAACGTCCCGATCTGCAGAACATCATCCTTTCCTTCAACCCTACACTCAACCTGGGCAGCGTGCCAAGCTGGCTCGGGCAACTGGATGGCCTCCTCCAGATCGGACTGGCAGACACTGGGCTTGTGGGTCCACTCCCTGAATGGCTCGCGTCTACCTCCATCTCCACTCTTGACCTCTCTAGCAACAAACTCACCGGTGAAATGCCCACCTGGGTCGGCAACATGACCAACCTCTCCTCCCTGAATCTATCAAACAATGGGCTCGACTCCACCATACCTAAAGCGTTCAAGAATCTGACATTGCTCACCGATGTGGATCTCCATTCCAACAAATTCACTGGACCGATCAGGCCGGTGCTAGCCAAGGGGACAAACGATCCAGTAGGCCACTACAACTCTATAAACCTCTCAGGAAACATGTTCACCGGTGGAATCGATAGTGACATTGGAGAATTGCCAGCGATGGACACAATCACAGAGTTTGATGTGTCTTACAATCCCTTAGGAGGGACGATACCAGTGTCGATGGGAAGCTTGGCATACCTGGCACAAGTGAGAATGGCTGGGGATGGGTTGACGGGTGCGATACCAGCGGGATTGCTGGGCCTGCAGTCGCTCACGGTGTTTGACGTGTCGGGGAACAATTTGAGCGGGATGATTCCGTCGCACAGTGCAAGCCTTGGTGCTAGTGGATTCGCAAGGAACCAGGGACTCTGTGGAGCGCCATTGTCACCCTGCAAGCGTTAAGCGAGAGGGTGGTTGGGGTCCTATAAAGGTTCGTGTCGTCGTCCTTCTGCCCCGCACAAGGTCAAGACTAGTTAAATATAGTGACATGAATATGTGTTTGCTTAAATTGATTGCCTCTAATCCCTATAGTGTCCATGAACTGGACCTCAAGACCAAATAATTAAAGGTAAGCACGGAGATCCTGCTTGCAATAAGTCATTTCCCCTGATTCCGAGTTGTTAATTGGTCGGAATAAGTTGTTGTTTTACTTGTAATCTGCCAGTTTGGGTGCGGCAGCATAAACACAAATAAATGAGAAGCTTTGTTAATTATTTTCAGAATTTTATTTTTGATTGATCTCCTCTTACTTTTTATGAGAAGGTGTCGGATTTGCATGTTGGATTTAAATCTAATTTGTGGACACATATGTTTATCAATGTGTATTGCTATCCTTAAGGATAACCCGCATAAAGTGATCAATCAATTTCGGTTAATGAGTATTTAAATAAATCATGGGCTAAATGTGCGGATACCAGGTTATAATTATAATTTGATGATGGGCCAAATTATAAATGTACAACACCTATTTATATATGGGGTTATGGTCCCTAATCTAGGGTCAACACACTCTATTCTCTTATCCCCATCTAAAGAGATACATAAGGAGAAACCCTAAGATTAGAAGATCATCAAAACACTCTATTCTCTTATCCCCATCTAAAGAGATACATAAGGAGAAACCCTAAGATTAGAAGATCATCAAAACCCTTCTTTATATCCAAGCAATGGATTCAGATACATAAGGAGAAACCCTAAGATTAGAAGATCATCAAAACCCTTCTTTATATCCAAGCAATGGATTCACGTATAGCTTCCGCTCTTATTGATGTTTAATCTCTATGATTCACATATTGATGTTTAATATCTATGATTCAATCACGGTTAAATGCAACAAGTGGTATCAGAGTCACCATGATTATTTCTTAGGGGTTTAAGATTTAAAATTGAGTTTTTTAGCTTAATTTGTGGTTTTTTCAGAACTGTTCACGGATGAACAGTAAAAGTTCATTTTTTGTTTGGTTTTTCTTTCGATTTTTGGATTTGTTGCACTCATGAACTATAAAGTTCATTTCTTTTTTGGTTTGTTTCCTTTTTCAGATGTTTGGATATGAAATGGATTTAGATTGTTTTTTTATTTGTCGTCGTTCACCAACTCCTCGCCAAAGATGTATCGACGGCAGCCCCACTGTCAAATGAATACAGTGGCGGCGGCGGTTTCAGAACGAAACCCTAAGGGGTGTTCGTTGCTGCAGCCCTAGCAGTGGCGACGTTTCGTGTTTCGAAACACTAAGGTGAAAGAAATTAGGGCTTGAGGACTTACCTAACTTCAGCAAACTTCAGTTTGCTTCTGACGAACTTCGTGTTCGATTCAGCCTTGTTGAAGGCTTCTGACGAACGTCGGTTCTATTCTTGTGAACTTCGGTTTGCTTCTGTCGAACCTCATGTTTGAAAGTTGAACCTCGTGTTCGAAACTCCAGTCGAACCTCGTGTTTGAAACTCTAGTCGAACCTCGGTTCCAAGCTCCAGTCGAACCTCATGTTTGAACTTCGGTTGAACTTCGTGTTCAGTCTCAGACGAACCTCGTGTTCGACTCAAGCGAGCTTCGACTCAACTCAGGCGTAGTCGACACTCGTTGCAGGCGAGCTCGACCTTTGGATCTCAAGTCGAGCGAGCTTCGTGATCGCTGATGGAAAACTTCTATTTGGTCGAACTTCGGCTTTGAATCTGACGAGCTCATAGAGCACTAGCTCGGCGAGCCTCGTGCTCGTTCTCAGGCGAGCTTCGAGGTTGAGTCTCGATTTCGAAGGCGAGCTTGACCTTCGATTCAGGCAAGGTCTTCGACTCAGTTTCGGCTGAGCTCTGATTTTGGGCGAGCTTTTGCTTGCGGTTGAGGAGAAAAGAGGTCGAACCTCTTTGAGTTAGGGCACAACCCACTTAAAGTCTTTTGGTTTATGGGCCTACAATTATTTAAGAATGGTTTAATTGAATAATTCAATTAAAACATAACTTGTGGGCCTTATTAAGTTATTGGGCCTAAAAAATATGCTTAATTTAATTATTAAGTGATGAGCCCTATTAAGCTATGGAAATTCTGTTTAATTTAAATTAAATTGTTTAATTTGAATTAAATCTGGTAGTTAATCAATTATTTAATTCAAATAATATGACACTAAGATATTATATTTGTCTCTCATTCCAAATGATCAATTGAAACAAGATGTTGCCAAAGTAACCTCTCTTGTATAAATTGTTCATGAGGGATATTAGATTGTTGTGTGTATGTTTTGGTGTAAATATTTAATCGGCCCAAAGGAAAGTTAATATTTATTTAGACTGCATACACATTTGTGATGATAAACGCGTGGTAATTATAAGGTTTATATGTGAATAATGAATCGATCCAAAGATAGTTTCATTAATTATTTTATATGTGTTATTGTCAGTATTTGATCATTGCAATAAGATATCAGTTACAAATTAATATTACTATCCAAAGACTTAGTATTAATGTTGTACCAGATATCTTGAGATGAGATTTGTCATTATTTAAATTTTATTGATTACGGTTAATAATATGAGTATCTTTTGTTTATTTCAGCTAATGCATCTGCTGCAACAATTTCTACTAACATCAACTCTATTCTCATGCTCAATGGGATAAATTTTAAGGTTTGGAAAGAGAACATATTAATTATTCTTGGCTGCATGGATCTAGACCTTGCATTAAGAACTGAACAACCCTAACCTCTCAATGCGGATTGCACTCCTGATGTTAAGGAGGAGTATGAAAAATGGGAGCGTTCAAATCGCATGAGCCTTATGATCATTAAGCACGGCGTTCCTGAAGCCTTCAGGGGCATAGAATCCGAAAGGATTATTCAGGCTAAAGATTTCCTTGCCAAAATTGAGAAATGTTTTGCAAAAAATGATAAGGTAGAAACAAGCACGCTTTTAGCTCGCTTGATTTTGATGAAGTATAAGGGCAAGGGAAACATCCATATTAATTGTTCTTGGCTGCATGGATCTTGACTATGCATTAAGAACTGAACAACCCTAACCTCTCAATGCGGATTGCACTCCTGATGTTAAGGAGGAGTATGAAAAATGGGAGCGTTCAAATCGCATGAGCCTTATGATCATTAAGCACGGCGTTCCTGAAGCCTTCAGGGGCATAGAATCCGAAAGGATTATTCAGGCTAAAGATTTCCTTGCCAAAATTGAGAAATGTTTTGCAAAAAATGATAAGGTAGAAACAAGCACGCTTTTAGCTCGCTTGATTTTGATGAAGTATAAGGGCAAGGGAAACATCAGGGGGTATATTATGGAAATATCTCATAGTGCTTCAAAACTTAAGGCACTTAAACTTGATCTTTGTGATGAGTTACTGGTGCATCTGGTTCTTCTGTCTCTTCCTGCACAATTCAATCAGTTTAATATCAGTTATAACTGTTAAAAGAAAAAAATGGACTCTAAATGAGCTCATTTCATATTGTTTTCAAGAAGAAGACAGGTTAAAGTAATATAAGACAGAAAGTGCTCAGCTGGCTTATGCATCTAAGGATAAGGGCAAGAAAAGAAAGAATGATAATGAAGCTGCTAAGGGTCATGTTCAGAAGAAACAACATAATGATGATCATGGTTGTTTCTTCTGTAACAAATCGGACACGTAAAGGATTGTACCAAATATCACGCCCGTCGTGTTAAACCTTATTTTGGTCTGTTCTGAGGTTAATTTAGCTTAAGTACTTAGAAACACTTGGTGGTTAGACTCTGGTGCTACTACTCATATAAGTGTTTCTATACAGGGCTACCTGAGCTATCGAAAGCCAAGTGATGTTGAAAGACACATCTTTGTGGGCGACAGACAATCGGCAGACCAGGTGACAGCCCTGTTGCTAAAGGAGACAAATTTAGTCTCAATCAGTACCCTAAAGGTAACTTTAAAATTCAGAAAATGCAGAAGATTTTTTATGCTTCGATTGTAGGAAGTCTAATGTATGTTCAGGTATGTACGCGTCCGGATATTACGATATTGTTAGGATGTTAGGTAGATACTTAAGCAACCCTGGTATGGATCATTTGATAGCAGTCAAAAGGGTTATGAGGTATCTTCAGAAAACAAAAGATTTTATACTCACATACAGAAAATCAAAATAGTTAGAGGTCATTGGGTATTCTGATTCTGATTTTGCTGGATGTCAAGATAACAGAAAATCTACATCAGGCTACATTTATATGTTAGCAGGAGGAGCTATATCATGGAAAAGTGTCAAATAGATACTTGTAGCTTCCTCCACTATGACAGCAGAATTTATAGCTTGCTATGAGGCATCCAATCAGGGAATATGACTGCGAAATTTTATCACAGGACTGCACATTCTGAAAAATATGGAAGACCACTAAGGTTATATTGTGATAATAAATCTACAGTAATGTATTCCAATAATAACAGGAGCTCAACTAAGTCAAAATATATTGACATTAAGTTCCTAGTTGTAAAAGAAAGGGTACAGAGTGGACAGATATCCATAGAACACATTAAGAAAAACTCCATGATAGTTGATCCTCTCACTAAAGGATTGCCTCCTAAGGTCTTTCATGAGCACACTGCTCATATGGATGTGATATTGTTTGAGGATATCATGATTTAGTGGGAGTTTGTGATTGTGGTGCTTTATGTTAGGTTGTATTGTCTGATCAAAATAAAGTTTTTAGTTCATACACTTTGGTACATTATGTTTGAGGTTGACCTCACTAAAGTTTAAGGTAGGACCAGTTAAAAATAGACATATACTGTTCACATTGCATGTAATTTTTATGCTGCACATCCATGATTGATCTATGTTATTTGATTATATTGGTAATGTGACCATTGATGAGTTTAGTTACTATAAATGTGACGAAGGCCGCTTTGATCCTATATTAATATGCTCAATGGACGAGATTGTTTGGAAATACCCTTTTCAGTGATAACAATCTTTGAGCTCATAAGGTTATATACACTTTAAGGAAACATATGATGTCCAAGTGGGAGATTGTTGGATTTAAATCTAATTTGTGGGCACATATGTTTATCAGTGTGTATTACTATCCTTAAGGATAACCCACATAAAGTGATCAATCAATTTGGGTTAATGGGTATTTAAATAAATCATGGGCTAAATGTGCGGATACCAAGTTGTAATTTATAAGAAATCTGCTATTTAACGACCAAAATTAGTGAAGGGACCAGTTGCCCGTCATTAATGTGCATATAATAACGACGGGTTTTAAACCCTTTGTCGAGTGATTACAAATAATAGAGAAATATTATGATATGAGATAACGATTTTCTAATCCCTTCGTTGATTTGATCCTACTACCGTCGTTATTGGGTCTCCTTAAAAATGAAGGGATCCATTACCTTCATTGATGAGACTCCTAATCATAATTGGACTGAAATTAACCTATTTCTATTAAAAAATCCCATAACCAAACATGAAGCCCCAGCTAAAACCCGAAACTGAATTTTACAAACCCACATATTTCGCCTACATGGACTGATGGACAGGAGGAGAGGGAAATTTCCCCCCAATAATTTTCGCAAAAATTAAAAAAAACAAACAAACCAAAATCCCCCAAATTAACCCTCGTTCTCTCTCTCTTCAAAAAACCCCAATCCTGTGCGCCTTCTCCCCCCCACCCCTCGAGCGAGGAGCGAAGGCGACGAAGAAGAGAGAGGGAGAACGATGTCAGACGAGGAGCACCACTTCGAGTCGAAGGCCGATGCCGGTGATCAAGGGCAGGCCCTGCAAGGTATAATTTCTTCCTCGGATTCTCTCTCGATGGGCCTAGGGTTTTCGTTGATGCGCTTGTTGCCGACGCTCTGGATTTAGTTGTGGCCTGACTTTGGATGGATTTTGTAATTTGACCGGAGATTTCTGGTGGGGCTTCCGTTTATTCGAGTTGAGGAGATTTGTACTGCTTGGTAGCTGATTATCCTTGGTAAGGGAAACAGTTGCCATGGATCTGATAATTAGTTCGATTTTTGCAAAAAACATTTTTAGACAGAATCGAATTAATTATTTTGAAGGAGAGGTTCTTGCCTTGAATCGAATCAGAAGCCGTAATTTTTGCTAAGCCATTATTTGCTGCTCGAAATTACTGCTCTAAAGTACTATTTAACCATAGGCTAAAGGAATCTGTCATATATTATTCTGACTCTTTTTTATTGTTGTAGAGATTTTCGTGGATTTTAGTTTGTTTTCTAATGGTATCTTTGTGTTTAAGACAATGTTTTGTGATGATAATTTTGAAAAATAATCTGTGTTTTAGAGGATATCGTTTTATATGGATTTGGAATCTGGGTTGTTTACAGACGGAAGGATAGCTACAAACTAGATTTGTGCTACGGGCAAGAAGAGACCACTGGTGATATTTTCTCCCGAGAGATTAAACCTCTCCTTGAGGGAATTCTCAAAGGAGGTAATGGTTGTGTGATTGCTTATGGTGCTCAAGGAAGTGGGAAGACACAATTAGTTCAGGTGACTTCAAGGTCCCTTAAGATTTTTTCAATCATACAACTGTTTGTGCTATTATCATTGTTAAGAGAAAATTTCTATTGTTTTTTGATTTAGGGTTCCGAAGAAAACCCAGGTTTGGCACTAATGGCACTCTTGGAGATCCTACCAGGTTTGGCACTAATGTTTACTGAAATGATATGTACTTTAATGAGCCCTACTTCTGAAACTATATTCAAGACTTCTCTCTCGAGATCATGTGGCTTGTAAGTGATATTTGAGAGTGGTTAATGTGATTGTATTACTCACATGTTGCCTCAAACGATGAGTTACTTTATGTAACAAAATTGACCTCGTGTTGAATGATTTTCATCTTTAACTCTAACTCATAATCCTCTAAAATCTCCAGCCTCCAGATATGAATAAAGATCAGTCACTTTCTTCCTTTTATGCCACTGGTTGCCACTTTATTTCTTTATTCAATCTAATCTTTTAAAGATTGTCAGAGTAAACAATGGAATGCATTCTAATATTGATATCTTTTCGTCATTGCATTTATTTTCTTAATACTCTTGGGCAATGAGTCATTATATATGAACATACAAGGTTTCTGTTATCATTTAGGTTTGTAAACTTGTGTGTTATTACTGACATCTAACAATGGGCTATCATATGTAGAGCTGCTATGGCCCCTGATTTTCAACAATCATTTATGAAACTACTGTCCGATGCTCAATTTGAAGAATTATCAGCCCAGGATTTGATGTTGACATACGCACTAAACAGTGACTATCTATTAACACTTCCAATATACGTTGACTGGAAACGGACATCAGAGTCAAATGCAATAATATTCAGGTAGGGCAGTCAACTTTGTTACGTTGTATTCATGTTATTGACCAGTTTGATTACAACTCCTCCATTCATGATTCATCATTTTATACAGTGTTCCAGTATGATCTCCAGGTGAAATCTATATAAACTCTGTATACAGCCTAAGTCAGCTTTACTGCACCATTCTATTTTTTTTCAGATTAATACAAGCTTCAATTTTCTGAATATCTCCTACTTCTGTGCTGTAGCTTTTTATATTTGGTTCGGTCATGTATATTGCTGTTTGATTTTGTTGTGAAATTTCCTTTTAATTATCTGATAATAGAGAGCACTCAGCTTTTATTGTGCATGGATGTTTTCACAAAGATACTATATGAATTGAGATTACGTCCATTCTTGGAATTGCTAGAACATGCGCCATAAGTATACTGTTAGTAGATAAACACATAGTATCTTCTAATTTTTTTCATTGACGTCATATAAAATGCAGGTGGATTTTCTTCTTTACACCTAAATCATACTTTTATTTCAAGAAGTATGCTACTTTGGATATGAGAAAAAAGTATGTTGATAGATAGCAGGAAAATATAATAATTATTTTAGAGCACCTAGAGTCTTTCACACTATATTTATTAGTTCAGCTGAAGTAAATATGTCTAGCTATCCTAGGGTGATTTGAGTTTTTCTGTAGCTGGTTTCTTTTTAAGTCTGTTTTTCTATAAAATAGGCCTAATCATTAGAGGTATTGGGTGCATATGTGATCAGCTATTGACTATTGTTCAACTTTAAATAGTCAGAATGATCTGATTCTTTTTAAGTTAGATTCTGTACCTCCTTTTAATTGCACCCTCTAGTAAATCCCAAAGTTACAGTCAAAATTTAAAAAGTTACAGTCATATATAGGTTAACATCTTTGCTTTTATATGTTGAATGACCCCATATATGAATCATTTGATGCTCAGGTTATTACATCAACATCATTGGTAGATGATGATATCAATTTGATAAGAAACGATGATCCAATTATTGTAAATTCGGTATCAACTTCAAAAAAGAGGAAAAAGACTCAAGTAGAGGATTAAAACGCTTTCATTAAAGAATGGAACTCAAATGATATTGCCATGCAAGATTAGGAGGGGGTAGCTCGAGTCTTCTTTTGATGATGATTAGAGGTGTCAGAGATGTGTCTTCCCCAAACTTTTATTTTAATTTGTTTTAGATAGTTTCATGTATTTTTCTTTGGAACGATTAGGATATTAACTCTTGTTATTAGTATTGAATATTTGAGGATGGTGGAATTTTATTTATTGATGTTATTAATGAATGGAATTTTTATTTTCCCTCTTATTCATTATTGGGTATTTTTAATATATTTGTGTTGTGAATCTTAGTATCAGGTTGAGAATAATATGATAGTTGTTTATGAATGGAAAAATTATTATTAATGTATATTAGAAATTTGTAGTCTATACAATGACGGTTTTATAAACCGTATTTTGTTCATCAACGAAGGGAAAACACCGTCGTTAATGGGTTACTAATTACCCATTACGAGGACTTTTACGACGGTATCCAACCGTCATTAATTAGTCTTCAACGACAGGAAAATATCCCCATAACTAATGGTAACAACGGGAAAATATTCCCGTAACTAATGGTAACAACGGGAAAATATCCCGTCACTTATGGTAACGACGGTAAAATATCCCCGTTACTGATAGTAACAATGGTGATAATTACCGTCGTAAATATTAACGACGGTAATATGTTCCGTCGTTATAGACTCTATAATGACGGGTAGTATATCCCTTCGTGACCCTTTAGCGAAGAGGGCTTCAACGACGGGTGACGAAGGGATTTTTCCCCGTCGTTAGCATACAATAACGAAGGTTTCCAGCTCTTTAACGAAGGGAAATCTTTTCGTTAAAGATGTAATTTCTTGTAGTATAGAGTTATGGTCCCTAATCTAGGGTCAACACACTCTCTATTCTCTTATCCCCATCTAAAGAGATACATAAGGAGAAACCCTAAGATTAGAAGATCATCAAAACCCTTCTTTATATCCAAGCAATGGATTCAGGTATAGCTTCCGCTCTTATTGATGTTTAATCTCTATGATTTAATCACGGTTAAATGCAACATTGCAAAGATACACTGTAGTCTGTAGACAAAATGAGTAAACACAAGCGGAGAGAAATCAGAATTCTTCATTAGAATGATTATACTCTTATCCTTGCAAAATTTTAACTGGTAAAGGTTCTGAAAATATATGTAAAATTGACAAACTCAATCACGAAACACCTCTTTCTCTAAGCTGAAGATGACAACTTTTGAGGCCGCCAATCTGATTTCTCGGCGCAAAGGATCCCTTCTTGGTTTCTAGAATAGGTTAGGCGGATATCCCAGTGCAAAGACTTGAGTATATTCTCCACTTCGCTTACAACCCCAGATTCATCACGAACTATCAGCTTGCCTCCGGGTCTTGCTATCCTATCAACCTCTACTACCATTGGTAAAATCTTGCATCTGAAATTTTTAGAAATTGACTATGTCTGGTTAGGCCAAAGACAGAAATGTATGTACGGTGAAAACAAAAACTAAACAACGGTATTCAACCCACCTTTTCTTCACTTGAGAGAACAAACGATCGGCGTGCAGGAGGTCGTAGGTTCTTGGATAGGTACTGAAAGATTCACACCAGTCATGGTACATACCAAAGAGGCCACGCTCATAGATAATTGGCAGTGTATCTGGTGAATCAATGTTCACCAAATTCATGACCCACACTTTCATATCTTTGAGTGCAGCAGCAAACCTATAAGAAAAAAGCATAAAATATCATGGGCTCCTTATGAACATGCAGTAGCAATAGAGTGGCAGCACTACCATGAAATATTATAACCTTACCCTCCATAGACAGCTCTCATGTCCATCACATTTCTGACTCTGGACCAGTCAATACCAAAACCATTGAGATAAGACTTGTTGACAACACGTTTCCAGTGTTGGTAATCTCTTGTGAAATCATCAGGAGCTGGTCTGCCATAGACTCCCATCTGAGAGCTGTTCATCCAGTAAGGAGGCACATGCACCCGGCGAGGCCATTCTTGCGGCCATTGTGAACCACGCTCTGATGGATCAACAGGCACTCGATGCATGCACGGCTGCAGAGGGACATACCTGGAAAAAGTAAAGCAGATTTCAGGCTTTTCATAAAATATACGCTTCATCTGAATTATGAACTAATCCTCTTCATGAAGACTTAATTTGAGTCATTTGCAGCTGAAAGGGATCTTTCAGAACAGATATACAATTCAATTGTCTGCCACAGCTGGTACATATGATGTCAGACCTTCAACAAGATGGTGTGAGAGCATCTTCGACAAAGTAAATCATCTCTCTCTTCTTTAATATTTTTGTGGTATTAAATTTTCTCTCTCTATTTACTGGCTAGTCGTCGACTCGTCGTATGACAGCAATAGGCGAAAAATCAACACAGAGGATCTTGCTAAAGTGGTAATTGAAGAGACGTTAGAAGAACTATAAGATACAGGGATAGGGTCAGAACAGTGGAGAAATACTCAGATCTAGCTACATAACGTTTTGGAAAAGCCAAACAGAAGAAGGAGAGGAAAACAAAGTTTGAATGGTATGCAAGGATTTCTGCAGCAACATATAAACTACGCAGATATGATAAATAAGGTTGTCACAAACTCACCATGCTGCATTTGGATCATCGTTTTCTTTGCACATGGGAGGGGTTTGATGCTCTCTCTTCTCATAACAGTCATTTGACATAGGCTTTCGGTACATGGCGGCACCAACAGAATTCAATTTATCCTTCTGGATTGTGTGAAGTTCCCAACACATAGATTTTGTAAGAGCAGTCATAGCTGAAATAGGAAAGAACATTAATGTCAACTCAATTGAACATATGTGACGTATCACACCAAAAATACATGACACTATCTACAGAAGTCTTTTATTTTGGTTTTTGGTTTTTTTTTGTGGGGGTGGGGGGTGGCAGAATTCAATTTATCCTTCTGGATTGTGTGAAGTTCCCAACACATAGATTTTGTAAGAGCAGTCATAGCTGAAATAGGAAAGAACATTAATGTCAACTCAATTGAACATATGTGACGTATCACACCAAAAATACATGACACTATCTACAGAAGTCTTTTATTTTGGTTTTTGGTTTTTTTTTGTGGGGGTGGGGGGTGG